ATGTAGTGTGTAATTTTAGTTTGAATCTGTCTAAACTTTTATTGGATAGTACGGATGGCAACATTATATTTCTTTTTGGTTATTTTGATTATAAGTGATCAACTCAATAGCCCAAATTTTAAACATTAACGAGGACGCAGTTGCAAGAGATGAAGTGGGGAAACATTTGGAAAAAAGAGTGATTATTTTATAAGTAAATCTGATATTTTGCTACAACACGAGATAAAAAAAATGAAACTTTTGTTCTTAGTTCCCAGAAAAATAATTCTGAAACCATGAGATAATGTTTGTCATCACAGAATTGGAACAGTGAGTTAAACGGTGAAGTAAGATAAACTTGGCAAGATTAAATAAATTACTTTTAATTCAAGATAGGCTCTATGTATAATCTGTAATCACAATTTATATTTATTGCATTATATTATGATAACTTTGGCATGTTCTTTAATTAATGTTTTCTTTGTTAATTAAAGCAATATATAGTTATCTACCTTTTAAAAAAAAGCAAATAAAGTGTGCAAGATTTAAATTTAGATACACAGGAAATACAGAGATAATTACCAGATAACTAGTTAGCCAAGTGACAGCATGGCTAACTGGTTAACTAGTCATTGAAGCTCTTAGCCATCCATTGAATTAAAAATAACATGGCTTCCAGAATATTTATTTCTGATTTTCTCCATTATGTCTTCAGTAAGCTAGTTATATTTTATAATTCCTGTTATTTTAATCTTACTTTTAGGAACATGTTATTTTCTTTTTTGAAAGCTCATTGTGTTTGGATAATGATTTTTTGAAGCTACCTACTGTGATACATTATTTTTTACTGTCCACCTAAAGATAGTTAGGCCTAGCCTAATAATTTATCTAGATGAACAGCTGATGATACTTTTGCTTTTAAATGCAGGTACTTTTAGACACATTTGTATTATATTACTGTATCAAATCCTTATAACACTAAAAGTTTGAGGATGAGCCTCCTAAACTTTTCAAGCAAAACAGGATCAATCTTATGATTGTCTGTTGTAATAAGTCACTGGTCAAAAATTAACTAGTTCACGAAACTGATTTCCCACAATTATTTTCTAGTGAACTTTTACAGGTAAATTCTGGTGCCAATTATAGACATACTGGTTACAACAGGTAATTATCTCCTTACATAAGCTGCTAGTTAGGCCTCACTTGAAATACTGAGCACAGTTTATTAGAAATTGGTTCAGATGAGGGCAACTTGGATGATTCTAGGAATAGAAAGATTATCTTGTGAAGATAGATTAAGATCTCTTATTTTCTCTTGAGATACGTTTACAAGACTATCTGGAGAAAAATAAAATTAAGGCTACTGATTTCTTCAAGATGTATCCTAAAGACAATAGAATGAAAGGCCACAAACTTAAGATCTGGAAAAGATAAGCTAGGCTCCAGTTAAGGCAGTTTTAATTTTATGGAATGAGTTGCCATCAGCAGAAGTTAAAGCTGGTACTTTACAAGTTTAAAAGGGAAATCAACAAATGCTTGAAAAATAAAGTTTTTACTATTCTCTCTAGGGAGTAGTATGCAGAGACAACTTGGAAGGGACAAATGGTCGTTAATTATCCATATGTTATGTCCAATAATCATACCTAACCTTATCAGTATAGCAATCAAAAATAATTACAGAGTAATCTATCTTTTTTTAAATTTACAGTGTAAATAACTGACATACATAACTTCTTAGTTTTTCTATACTTCAGCTAAAACTAATGCAAATAAACCACACTTTATAACCATTTCATATCATATACTGGTGAGGAAGCAACTAGGTTAATATTTTTATTATAACTAGACCTAAATTGATACCAGTATTGCAATCTTAATAGACATATTTACATTCATGTTGAATAAATAAAGATTTACAGATGTAAAACTCTATCTAATTTGTTTTGATTGCTTATTTTTCATTGGATAGAAGAATGACTTTGATGGGTTAAAACACCATATTCTCGATGCTCTGCAAATGAAACCAAAACCCAATTACATCTAAAAACTAAGCTAAACACTCAAATGAAGTTTATCAACATCCATTTTTTTACCTTTCCACTGTATCAACATTCTTATCACACACAGATCACAATTCTCATACAGATAAAATGTTACATTTAGCCTCAATTTTACTTGTAATGGAAATATATTTTTTTCAAAATCATAAGCAAAATAGAAAATAGTTAGCTCAATTTTTCCCCAAAGTTTTATTTATCCAATGAATGGGAATTTTAACTTCACAATAAAGAGAGCAGACACTCTTGAACAGGGTTACCAGTTGCCCAGAGTGAAAAACTTGGGATATTCTTTATTCCATACAAAGTGACATTGTAACAGCTCTCAAGTTACAGCAACACCCTTGTTACCATTTGCTAAATAATGGTAGCCCTACTCTTTGTCATGATATAAAAGACCGTTTAGTGTAGGTAGTATTAATTAATTTACTTTATGAGATAATATTATATGATTGTTTTAATGTGTTTTTTATAACAAGAGAATTAAAAGCAGATGATACACTGATGTCAAGAATATAGAAATTTCTAGAAGGTGGAGAGACGATTAAGTGCTAAACATATAAATAGTGTGTGATGAGTGGAAAAAGCAGACAGACAGAGCAAACGAGAAACCAGAGAACGGGAAGTAGAAGTGAGGTTAGAAAACGAAAGTTAACCATTGTAGGAGCGGATAGCCTAATGGCTGATATGTTAAAGTGAGATTAACAGTCTTCTGACACCTTGTCTCATCAAAGGGTGTTCTAAAGCAATTGAACCTGCATGTGTGAACTTTGACAAAAAGCAGATGATTATTGGAAGTAGGTCTAAATACAAATAAGCAGCATAGTATAGGAAGTTCAGGATACAACTGCAGTTGAGGCAAAGTAAGTAAATTCTACACAAAATACTAGTGCGATAGAAATAGAGAAAGGTAGTTTAACTTGTCAACTAAAATGCTAAAGCAAATGAATAGGCCTAAGTGGACTTTTGACATGTAGAGAACTACAGATATAGTATTTATGATATAGTGTAAAGAATTTATTGTACCTATATAAAACTAGTTCTGATATATATATATTTTGAAAACAAGTGGAGTGTGTGCTGTTTATTCATTGTTGAATTTATTGCTAACAAGACACAGACACCTACTGTAGAAGAATCCTAAGCCCAACAACAACAACACAGTATAAATTTATATTTACTATACAAGTAAAAGCTTTTAACTGACAATTGGTGAACATAAACTAACATCTGAAACACCAAAGATATTCTACTGGATGTTTTTAATATAATTTTCATGAGGTATGTACAAAAGATCAAAAGAAATTTCTTTCTTTTTTTTCTTTTACAGAAGTTTTGTCATAATCTAATTTTTTGCTGAATGTAATAGTTTCTTAATGTTTTTATCACTAATTTTTGACATTTCTTTATCTACAGAGTAGATTTCAAATTCAAACTTTTTAAAATTAAAGCATGCTTTAAGCTTTCATTTCATATCAATGATATTTGAAATTGAGGTATTTTGTTAAGTTATATAATTTACAAGCATGATTACTTAAATAATTTTTATTAGAGTATAATAAACTCAGTAAAATACTCAGTTTTACTATTACTCATATTCAAAAGAATGTAAGATACAGCCAACACTAAAAAACTATGATCTTACATTAAAAGTTTATTATGTTTTCTCAGGGCCTATTTTATATTGCTCGATAGTATAACTACAAAATATACTAAAAAGAATGGCTTCCCCACTAATCTCAATGTTCTCCACTGGAATTTAGAAACTTGTGAAGTTGAAGCTTTGAAATCTTTAAAACTGTGTATAATCATTACAAGTCTGAACAGACATCCTTATATGCTAATTACCATTCATCTTCAAAGGTACAACAACTAAAAGTTCATGTTCAATTACCAACCATCTTACAAACAAGCTACTTGCTAATCCAATTAATTATGCATTTTCTGTAAACTTTGTAGTTATAAAAGCTAGATTAACCAGATGTGACCCATTAACAGGTTCCCCATTTGAAAACTCACCCATAAATGTGTGAAATCAATTTGGTAACACTATAATTTCAATGATATTTGCATGACAAAGGTCTCTGAATAGACAGGAAACCATGCAACATCCATGAGTTTACTTACTGTTTTTGTGGGTCAAGCCAGTTTGTAAGGTATACTATGTAAATGTATCTAAAACTGCCTCAAAACAAAACAGTGTTTGATATTGGCAAATATTCAAGTCAATAACAAATAATTTGCAAGTTCATTTCATATAAGTATGTTTTTTAATATCTGCTTTATATTGTATGTAATGTATATGATTATTTCCTTGTATTCTGTTTACATTTATGACTGATATATTGCTCATAGTTTTATGCTAAAGATGGAATATGCTTTTTTACCAAAACATTCATATGAAATGTTCTCTTCAACTACAACAGTAGTTTTTCTCACCTGTGATTATTAAATTTTTAAGTGCAGTCATTTCTATCACTATTTATTAGTGTAATTTGTTCATGCCTATTTTGTGGTAGCCATTCTTGTACACTTTTAATTTTATATCCACGTTTCCAGTTGTAACTTGCAAGCATTTTTAACAGTAGATTGTACAACCTACGGCAGGATAGTACCACTACATCATCAGTGGTAACAGTGTGTGTGTAACCTATGTACTACTGGATTTGGTTGTCATGCTTTTATTACCACTAAACTAGTAATACACGACTCACACGAGTTGACTCGAACTTAAACTAGACTTCAGTCATGTAAACATTGAAACACATCCTTAAAAGGCTTAATAATTCTACTTGCAGCAAACATATAAACAATAATATAGTTTCATACTCTTTAATTTGTCTCTAATATGAGTCTGTTAATTACTTTAAGTGAGGGTTTGATTTAAAATGTGAATATTAAAAGTATAATCTAAGTTAGGCCTAACAGTAACATTAGGTTAGTGTCATCTTGTCAATGCCAGACCTTGGTGAACGGCCACATTGCAGCCCTGCCCATCGCAATATACTAGCGGATTCTCCGCCCAACCGCGTTCATCAGAACAAACACAACAACCCCCAACCATCTCCTTCATGTTGACCCGTTCTTCAGCTGACTTTTGATGAATGTCGGAAATCCGAAGGAGGGCAGGCTGTTGCTGCTTCACATTTCGACAACTCATTCACACACTCGGTTTTGTCTCTTTCTGATATTTATTATAACCATTAATTTATCATTAATCCACCACACATCTTTCTTAAAATCAAAATAGCGGGAACTAAGCTTGCGCCAAATTACTCGGGATTGTGGGAGCCGACAATAACTTCTAGCTTTACCGCTAGATGTCCCCCAAAGAAACCTTGTATGCCCATAATTGTTATTATTATTTGTTTCTTATTTGTGTTGTCCACTTTCAGGATGATGAATATATTTCTTAATTTATTAATAAAATTAAACTACGTGCAGATGAAATAAAAAACATCAAGCAGAGAATTTGTATAAACTACTGAAGAACACCAGTGAAATTAAGCTTAAATATTATGAATTAACACTAATTTCATGATGACAAAACCTTGTACATTTGCTGTTATGTTAAACTTATATTAAAGTTTTTCTTCATTACCCATTCAAGCCGTCTCCAGCCATTATTAATTTCATCTGTGTTTTTATCTTAATTCAAATGTCAACACTTCTTATAGATACTCCTTTTAGATTAGTCATTACAAGTTAGATTAGACAGCTTGTTTGATTTTTTTCATATCATTATGCGACAATCACTTAAACCGATTCAGCCATCACACTTTCGTATTTTTTGAGGCGCATTTTTACATTAGTTACTTCAGTTATTACTGAACACATCTATTTGAAGACTTGCCTCACTTCATTTGGCCCTTGCATGAAGTAGCGTTTAATTATAAATAATATCTAACCTCCTAATTTGAAAACAAATTCAGAGCCATGTTCAACAAAACTTTTAAATAACTAGCATTAGCATCATAAACCACAATTCTTAAATAACTGATAAAGTAATGGAACTGTTGGTTGATGCATATAAGTATTTCATTTCTTTAACTGTAGAAAATGCAATTATAAAACAATAAAGTTAATTTTCTTATTAAGAACAATTATACATTTGTTCTGATTCCAATTCTTAAATTAAAATACAAATGGTTCGTTATTTTTTGTATGTTTCTGTATTATATAATTATCTTAGATCATGGATTAGTCATTTAAGCACCTTTTGCAGTAAATAATTCCCAACATGGTTTGCAAATTCTAAAGACTGTTATAAAATAACTTTGTTGTTGCTGTTTTTTGTAAAAACTAGTTGTGGTATTCTAAGATTCAAAACCAATAATCATAAGGCCAATTTGACCAAAAATGACAAAAAGGGCACAGTTTCACAATAAAACGTTTATTTAACAATACAACAACAACAACACTTAGAACAAAACTTTGGCTTTAAACTTGCTGTCAGCTACCTCTCTCAAATGTTCTAAAAATCCAAATCATTCATGTTATCTGAAACAAGAATTCCAACTTTCCTATCTCACCACACACCAGAAAACTCATTAAGACCACCTAAAAAAATTCTCAGCACGTTAGCCAGGTCTGAATTAAAGATTAGGCATATCCTGTATGTCTAGAGCTTGTAATAAGTACATGAATCCTAAAATTTGGAAAAATGGTAAAAATAGATATATTTTTGTATTCTATGCTAAAGAAATGAGGTTTAGTTCTGAGGACTTCTGGCAGCAGAAGAGAAATTCTCTCCTGGATGTTGGGTCATCTTTTCCACTCTGCAGAGTCCAGAAAGAATTCACAATTTGACCATCTGTAAAGTGCAGAAGTAGTAGTGTTCTGTCTTCAACTTCCTTATACTTCTGTCATCTAATAATGCCACATTAACACTGGACAAAGCATTGCTTGTCAAATTAAATTTATTTTTGACATCTATCGCTTTTGATTTTCACTTATAGTTAGACATTGATGCAAATTCTTGCTTTATACAAATATTTACCAATATTTTACAAGTAAACTTCTCACACTGCTATTTCAATAACTTTATCTATTTGATTATCTTTTGTGCATTGATATTTATATCCATAAATACTTCAACATCAAAATTCTTGTTTCAGTTTGAAGTTCAAGATATGCAATACAATTGAGAACTGTAAAAAATAGTTATTAAATATATTAAAATGGAGAATTGAAAAGTTCTCATGAAATTGCTAAAGTATTACTGTAACAAAAACGAGATTTAACTTTCCATTGTCTTCTTTAAAAATTTCTGCAGTTTATTGACAATTGAAATAAAGTACGTTAGAGCTTTATCTTTATTAGAAAAAATAATTTTCAATACTGATGTATTTAGAGCATATTGTAATATAAAATTAGTTTCCTTTTGGGGATATTTAATTGCATTAGACAACAAATCAATAATCAAATCTAAAGTGTACCATTTCTTAGGACTTAGTCAACAGCACACAGTTTGACTATTGAGCAACTGTTTTACAGAAGCATTACTGACATCTTTTAATAAACAATTTTCAGGTTTTTTTTTTGCTACATAATTTGTCCACAATATAAGATTTATTTCCATAAAAGTTTTCTGTAACAGTTAAAAAAAACTACAGCATGTCTTAAACCAAGACTTTGAATTCTAGTGCCAGCTACATTACTCCTAACTAGAAATGGAGAATATTTTATACTAGTGAATATATCTGTGCCTCATTCACCAATTATTTCATTGACTTCATGGGAATGGTTGGATGACTTACACAATTTGTCATACAGGTCTGCTGAATACACACAACCACTAAAAGTACCTTTGCAAATGCACAGCAAAAACAATACTTTCAGTTGGTATTGGCTTTACAGAGCAAAAATATAAGTAGCTGTTGAAACAGAACTAATTCACTTTAAACTCAATATTTTGGAGAGTGTGGCCTATCTGAGTTTCTCTGTCAAGAAACCAAAGAGACAAGCCTGTTTTATATACACACACACAAAGTTCAAGTCCATAGCATTATTGATATTCTGGTTTCAGTCATATATGAATAATTCAAGATAAGTTACAGTTATAAATATTTAAAACAGAACTGATTATTAAGTATAGTAGTAGTTAATAGTAGGGATCAACAAGGTTTTCAAATAATTCACGAGACAAAAAACCACCCTATTGAATACCTAAGCAAAAAAATCGACCAATCAAAGTATTGGTTATGATATATTATGTGCATATACACTAATAATATGCTAAAAAGGACTAACATTTCCAGTATAACAATTCCAAAATTTCTAAAACAGCAACTTTTTTGTCTGCTACCTATAAACCAACCTGATCATATCAGTGAAGCAAGCCCCTAGATGGTTCAGACTATAGATACAAGATTTCTCCAGCTGACTGGTCTGTGGGTATCCACTTTTGATATTCAGATAAATATATACAGATTTTTTTATAAATAGTAAACGTATCATGCACTACTTAAATCTTTTAAACCCAACAAATGGTATTACATATTGATGAATAGAAGCATGACAGTTTCCAAAGGTAAAGTGTGTTTGTTTGTAGTTAAGCACAGAGCTACACAAAGGGCTATCCGTGCTCTGCCCACCACAGGTACCAAAACCTGGTTTCTAGCATTGTAACTCCACAGACATACCTCTGTGCCACTTGAGGATGAAAGGTCAAGTATATACTTTAAAATAAAGTAGGAATCCTGCTACTAAAAGTAATGAAACAAGAATTAAAACCACAATCAAACATTTATAAAATTTTATCCCTAATTTGGCAGCTTTATACACTTATCTGTAGGCCAAAGTAAGGTTTACATTTTATAAATTTGTGATTGTAATTCTTGTAAAAGTTATAGCTATCAGAGATATGGCTAAACTGAAAGTTTACAGATGTTGTGTTCATTCCATGGACATATAAAAACCAAACAAGTAAATAGGAAAAAAATAAAAATTACAAATTTAACGGAAAGTAGGGATTGTGGGTTATTCATAGAAGTACTATAAGTATACAAAACAAAATAAGTGCTGCAAAAAAGTAAACAAAGAAGTAAAATGTCACTAGTTGGATAGATTTTAAAACGATTTTCAATCTCTACTTTAGACAGCTTCATTTAGCTATGCAGATCACGATGCCAACCAAAGTAGGGATTGAAAATCGTATTAAAATCTATCCAACTAGAATCACTTTACTTTGCTTGTGTATTTTTATTGCAGCATTTATTTTGCTTTTTATAGCACTTATACGAATAGCCAACAATCCCTATCTTCCATTAAAATTTTAATTTTTCCCCCCTATTTATATATAAGATATTATAACCCAATTATTAGCTTTCCGTAGTAATATTTTAGGGTCTCAGATGGTAATTTTAATAGTAATGTTTTAGCAGCTGTTATTGCTCCAAACTCTTGATAAAAGCACAATGTGTGTGTGTGTGTGTGTGTGTGTGTGTTTTGTTAGAGCAAAGCCACATCAAGCTATCTGCTGTGTACACTGAGGGACAGCACAATATGAAACATAAAACATTTATAACATAAATTGATAATTTCAAGTTTCATTATTTGTATTATGCACATTAAAAAATAATAAATTACATATATTAAGTTATGAAATGCTTTTGATAACTGAAAGCCAGGGATTCTTATAGACCATAATGAGTTTTTTGAAGATTTTTTTTCTTCCCACGACAACTATACTGCACCAATGATATTGCTCTAATCTAAATAATAGTGATATAGTAAACGCATAACCTTTGGTAATGCTTTGTGTTAAATGACAATAATTAGTTGAAAATTACATTTCTTCCAGAGAGTTTCCTTTATTAATGAGCTACAGTAAATTAAGTGTAATGGTGTTCAGTTCACATTTGAATCCATTACAGTGTACACTAATATAAAAATAATTTTATTTTACAACTTTTGACTCAAAAAACCTTAGGAGTAAAGAATTAAATACACATTTAAACTGGTCTCCAAATACAGAATGTACTAAATATAATTTTTAAATAAAAGAATTTAACACAAATTAAATGTTTCATTAGGCTGACGTAAAGACAAGGTGATACTGCTTCAAGAAAGAAGTACTTTAAAATATATTCTGTATTAAAAAATGTTACTTATGAAATAAATTAGAATTTGCAATGTGAGCTGTTTAATAAAGATGTGTAAAAAAGTCAAACCACTCACTAAATATTGAAAAGGTTTAGTTTATTAATCAAATTTAACAGAAAATCATACACACATAAACCTTAGATTTTCTGAAATGCTGCAATATCCACCGATTGAACATAATCTTGAAATTCTTCTATTTTTTCCTGCAACCAGTCAATGCTCACCTAAAAGATTCATATCAATTAAAACAAGTAAAAATATTGAGTTCTTCCACAAATATGTCTTAATTCCATTTTTTTCAAACAATATCTGACAACTATTTAATACTGAAGCCAGTTACCATGATTAAAATGTTTTGTCTTTAAAATTTAACTTACAAAAACTGAGTCATGTGAATTGAATGTTATTTGTAGTGATTGATGTTTCTTTAATAATATAACTTCCAAGTGTTAGCATAAATAGATACTTAGGTTGGTTGTTGTTTTCTGTGCAAAGCTAAACAATCATATTAATTTTAATTAACTATTTCAAAGAAGTTTTACGCTGACAAACCTTTTCATCTTCAACAACACAAACGATCTGCAACTTTTTGATTCCGTAAGCCAGTGGTACTAGTTTGGCTGTTCAAAAAAAGTGTACATTAAGAAAACTAGTAGAAAATTAAAGATATTTTCAAGTCACACGTGTAATGCACTGAAAAAACAATTAGTATTTATTATTAGATGCGGTATGATCTAAAGAAAAAAATCCATTCCCAGTTTAGAAGTATACATATATATTCACAAGCATAATTTAAAAATAACAGAAAACCCAAATCTACTTTCACTTATTTTACTTGTGCACAAATTATCTTTACCACAAATTCTCCAGTAACAAGTAAGGTGATTGAACAAAAGTATAAGTATAGTGGAAAATTTGCGTATAATAAACAGTTAGAAAAATATCATTACAAAACTGAACACAATATGACTTACTAGTCCATCAACAATAAACATCCATCACTAGTTTTCAAATTTTGAGGCTACATAATACTTGTGAAGCTTTCAAAATCATAAGTAGCTTTTAGTGAGAATATAATAAGTTCTCAGAAATAGGAATTATTATTAGATGCTGTTATGTAACTACGGTGTACTTTTCAATAAAACATATCTGGAAAATGAATTATTTATAATATTTGTGCATTTACAAAATACATAAAAAAATAAATCTCTAACAAAACTTAAATTTGATGTTACTCTATCAAGTTGTCACTGTGCTGTGCAAGGATGGACAGGAAATATTTAATTCAGAAGATAAAAACTGAAAAAGTTTTAGCCTATCTAAATTAGTCCAGTCATAAATATCTCAGCCATTCTTTCTTAAGTTTGAATATGGGCAAAAATAGATTGTATGTAAGATACAAGTTAATGTATATAATAATTCCCACAAAAATAAAAGTCTGAGAAAAAAATCTATCTGTGAGGTGACATCTTAATTACCACTGCCTGAGCCAGTCCTAATTTTATCTGTAGGTGCTTGTAGAGTCGTCAACTTTTTGAAGGCTACAGATAGGCCTAAATAAAATGTTTTTAATTGTGTACCAGTTTAACGTTGAATATTATTTATGATTTTAAACAACTAAAACTTTGAAAGTAGACATGGATATAGTCAGAATGATGTGACAGCTGGTTAACTATATTAAGATGATTAAGAGTACCTGTTTCGACGTTACAATGTTTGTGTGTTGAATTTTCATACAAAGTTACTTGAGGACTATCTGCACTAGCTGTTCCTAATTTTGAAATGACAAACTACAGGAAAGACAGCAGGGAACATCACCCACTGCCAATTTTTGGGCTACTCTAATCGAATAATGCAGTTTGACCATCTCTCTTATAATGTATCATGACCCTAAAGTCCTTTTTCTTTTTACTTTTTTGCAACAAATTTCAGAACCTCAAATCTACAATCTAATGCACTAACCAAGTCAATATGTACATAAAAATTTATATTTTGTTTTACTTAATATTTGAGGTTGCTAGTTCTGAGTCTGCAAACTCTAATTCAGATTTTCCCTCATTTCACTTTTTATTTTCTTATATGTATATGTTTGTGTGTGTGTGTGTTTATATATATATATATATATAATTTCTTTATACAAGTTCTGGATGTGAAAAATATCACCTTATATTTTTTGTTCTAATAATAAGGACCTGAAAAGTTCACCCTTTTCACATTCACTGTTTTTTCTTTCTAGAAATGTTAATTCATTTTTATTATTCAATAAATATGACATTAAAGTTCCAAACATAAGTCTAATGAAGTGCTCTTTTGTGTATATACGTGTTAGATTTAAGATCTCTCATAAATTAGATGAAAACTGACAGTAAACAATGGAAGATAACCACAACAAAAAATTAAGAATTGATAGTTTAAAACAACATTTATGACCACCAATTTTACTTATGTTTTCAAACATAAAAAAATTCAACAAATGAAAATACTGACAGAAGTCATGTGAAAAATTCTTAAACCTCAGAAATTTAACTTGCACATGATCTTGAAAATGTTTTTTAAAAGTGCAATGTGAAGTTTTAATATTGATCTGAGTGGGCATAATGTATTATTTTGTTTAGTCAAACATTTACTGAACACTGATTACTTTGTCAGGGGCACTTTAAAAAAACTATATAAAAAACCTGTGTGTAAACTACACAACATACACTTACCTGCTCCCCATACTAAGCCATCACATTCTATTGTTCGTACATTCTTCTCCATTTCTGCCATGTCTGTTTCATCATCCCATGGTTTCACATCTAAAACCACACTAGACTTGGCAATGGGGCCAGGCTCTGCGAGTTTAATTGACACATCTCTTATTAATACTGATATATATATGATAAACATGTTATGTATATGACACATAACAATCATCAATATAAATGTAGTAACTCACTTCAAAATTAACTAACCATTATAATAAACTTGTAAACTTAGGGTGACTATGAGGCCAAAGAGTAATAATCTTACACACTCATTTAATAAATTTAAGCACATTTTATATGATATCATAACACATCATAAAAAGTGAGTAATAAATTTTGCTCAACATTTTATATGATGCCATAACACATTACAAAATATGAGTAAAATTTTGCTCAACCATTTTATATGATGCCATAACACATTACAAAATATGAGTAATAAATTCTGCTCAACATTCTATATGATGCCATAACACATTACAAAATATGAGTAATAAATTTTGCTCAACATTTTATATGATGCCATAACATATCACAAAAAATGAATAATAAATTTTGCTCAAAAGACAAATCCTCTACACCATTCAGATTACAAGAATAATAAATGACAAATCACAGAATAAAGGCTAAAAACATGATTTGGTAAACTTAGAATGTCCATTAATTTCTTTTAAGGAGAAAAAAATATTCAATTCATTCTGTTTTACATTATTTCACATTGCAGTTTGTTTTAACAATATTACAACCCATGTGTAACTTTCAGGTGGTAAGTGCAATGTATTAGGTCGTCAAGAAATGAATGTCGCATTTTGGAACACTTTCATTAACCATACCCCAAAAAAAGTACATCACGTATAATAGTTAAACGAATTGCCTAAATGTCACG